ATGTCAGGAATACACACTAATTTTACCAGTTCTGTGGACAGATAAATCTTAAAATTTACTTCTCTTCTTTTGTCCTACCAAGTCTGTCTTTTTCTTTCCTGGTATCTCCAAAAAATAAATATCAAAATCACCTTGGTGAAGGAGTTGAGCTCGATAGGCTGAAAGGGAAGTTGTAAGAAACAAATGAAGTCAAACAGCCAAAAGAAACTTTAATCCACATTCATCTAGAGTTTCTCCACCTATAACCAGGAAAAAAGTGTTTATTTTTATGTGAAAAACAAAACAACAACATTTGTAAGCAAATGAAATACTAAAAACAACTTTATAAGCCTAAAATACTAAAAATTTTTGCAATCTCCGTATGTCACAATACCATATATAAGAATAAAATACTGTTAAATTGTCAAAATGTTTATTACTTTACAAGTATTTTTTCCATACAATTTTTATATTACAGAGAAGACAGCATCACTAAATAACTGAAAACTAAACATGGGAATGAATACACTTAAAGTGAATGTTAATACACTATTAACATTCTTTATAATCTGCCCTCCTTTGACCTGAATCTTTTATTTTTAAAGAGTTTAATGCTTTCTGTGGTATGTTACAGTAATATTTACTATAATGGATTTAAATCATATCTACTTCCCAATGATAAGCTATAATATTGAAGGATATAGTTTATGCTAATAGTATGGTAATTAAGTCCTGATTTTTCCTATATATGGCTAAAAGTAGTAACATAGTAAAATATTAAAATAAACATACATAAAATTAGTATCTATTAATAATAATATTTCCTTCGAAGTATAAACTAATTTTTGTTAATTTAAAACCTTTTGTGCCAAATTTAATCCTTATTTTCTTCTCAAGCTTACTTCAATGGTGAATCCTACTAGGCAATATATCTGGTTTAAAATAATGGATTTGCTAATTTCAGACTTTGCTTTTGCAGTATGATAGAAAATTTCCATTCAAATGTGTTCATAGCATAGAATTTTTTTTAAAAAAAAATTCTTGGTAATGAAAAGACCTAATTATGTTGTCTTTATACTAGTTATTCTAGGCAAGAGTACACAATAATGCTAAGTTTTGAAAAATCCTGAATCACAATGTAATATTTTACATTGGATTATTCCCACAAAAGGAAAAAAAATTGGAAACACTTAATCTTGGCTATTTAAAATCTGTACTTTTGCTAAACTCACAGGGGTTCAGTTGGATCTTTTGTACTGAGTAGACAGTTATTAATGATGACTGATATGATTGCAAAAGATGAATTTTTGTAGTAACTTTTTTAAAAGGCCCTCATAATATCATTTTTATTAAAAATTACATAAGACCATTTTCTATGAAAATAAGTAAAATTATCTTTATTTCCTCCCACCTTGTACAGAATTTACTTTTACCTTGACTTCTGTCCCTGCTTTCTCCAATATCAGTGCTTGTAGTTGCAATTGTATCTGCTAAGGCCATCAAAGACATTTGTTCCATCCGAGTGAGCCCTGGTAAACTAGAATGCAGTAAATGGCCAGAAAGAACTTGCGCATGCTCAGGACCAAAATAAGTTGGACTGTATTGTGAAAGGTCAATAACTTTGGGCTTCGTATTTTCTTCATCTGTCTCCAACATGTGACTCTCAGATATCAGAACTGAAGTCTGGAAAAGCTCATCATAACTTTCTTTTGATACATGGTTGTTTTTACTTGAGGAACTTTCATTACTAAACTTTTCCGAAGATGAGCAATAGCTATCATCATCTGCTGCAAGTAAGGCATACAAAGGAAGTGGAGGGACAGAGTCTATCTCTGTGTAATCTGTGTTTTCAGTTTTGTTGAATGCCTGAGGGTCTCTGGTGGTGCTTCCACTAGCACTGATGGTGAGAGACCTAAGGCGGCGCTCATGATTGGATTCAGTTTCATTCAGAGCCACAACTTCCCCAGCAATGCATTTGACAAGATGTGATAAGATAGCCTTGGCTCTCCGGACTTTGCCAAGATCCATGAGTTCCAAAAGTTGCAAGGGATGGTACTGAGGTAAAGTTGGGGAGAGTACATGAGCTGCTTCAAAAAGACCAGAATCTTCCATATCCACTGAAGGGTCAAACATAGTTTTCTTTCCACAGATTTTCTGTGCAAGACTGGTCATGGATCGAGTAAGGGTTTTCTTTGGAGGATGTAGTCCAGAACTTGATGAGTTACTTTGTTTTATTAAATTTACTATAGATGGAGTGCTTCCATTGTATGAATCTGTTGTAACAGGTTCTTGTTTATAAGATGGCTGCCATTGGGAATATACATGCATTTCACAATCCATTCCTACAACAAGGATGCCATCTCGGACCCATGATAAAGAAACAGGAAAAGGTGGGGCACCTTCTACAGAAGAAACCAAGTCCACACTTCGTAATAGTACAAATTTAGAAAGAGGTACAATTTTAGTACTCTCCCAGAGAGGAAATGCCTGGTTTTCCTTACCAGTTTGTTCTTGTACCTTGCCAGCCAGGGGTCCATACATAAAAAGTTTTGAGCCAATTCCTACAGTCAAGATATGAGAACCATCTTCTCTAGACATCCAATCTAAATGAACCAAATGTTTTGTGCTTGATGTAATACTTTCTTTACTGAATAAATATGTCTCCTGTTTATTATAGGCCACTAAATTGCTATCAATACTAATGCCAGAATCCAACACTGTACTTAACTCATCTAAATGAATTGTCTGTTCAAGGACCCAACATGAACCTCCTGTAGACTCACATTCAAAAATACTTACATGCATCACAAATTCCTGAGATTTACTATTAGATGCAGGCTGCTTATAAGCTACTGCTAAACGATTAGTATGTGCACAGCTCACTTCTATAGGCCTACCAGGTACAGTTATACTACTATTGCTCTGAAGTCCATCTTCAATGAGTAATGGCCATTCTTCCCAAATATATACAAGATCTATTTTTCCACTCTTTGATGTAGCCGATTCTCCATCTGTTACTCTGCATCGCCAAAATCTTACTTTATTATCTGAGCATGAAGTTGCCAATAAATAAGGGGCACTGCATGCAGGATATATGGAAGATGAACTCAGGTGTCCTAGAAAGAAAATAAACCATTAACATTTTCAATAATTACTTATATTTTCTATGTATTAAAAGTTTTAGCTGTTTTGCTGAAAACTACTGTTAAGAACATGAGAGTCTTATTTAGTTTAAGGCTCATGATCAAGCTTTTAATGAGCTATATACTATAGGAGCTGGCTCGGTGAGTAATGTAGCTTGACTCCAGGAGTTTACTTCCACAACCTATGTGGTGGAAGAAAAGAATAAACTAATTCATGTTGCCCCAGGTTCCATATATGTGTTCATGCATATACCCCAAAACACACACACACACATACACATACAGTTAAATATAAAGAGGAATACTACAAAAATGTCACCTAGAACTAAAAATTCAAAAAATTTATTTCAATTCTTGCATTTTATAGGTTAAAGTTCCAACAATCCATATTAAATATGCTCTAAGTTGAACAACTGTAGTATAAAGGATTAATAAAAGTTATTATCCTGATTCTTCACACATCATTTGCTAGTTTTATAACTATGTGTCTCATTTTAACATATCAATATATTTTTAAAAATCTGTCCAGCTTTTCTAGGTCCATTTTCTTCATATTTTTCAATACAAGTATGACTGCCCAATCTTAGGTCACCTTATAGGCTTTTATTTTTATTATTTGACAATTTCATGCTTGCACTATAAAAGATTCTGGTTCTCTCCTTCTTTCCCTCCTCACCTTCTTTTTTCTCCCTCCCATTACTACCACTCACCCACCCACCTCCACTAGTGTGTTTCCTAGGTTCATGACTTTCAATTTTGTTTTCTGACCATATAGCTTAAACAAGGTCATTTGTATCACTAGTTGATTGGAACTATTCATTGGAACCTGCTGAAGGCAATCACATTTCCTCTTTCTGAATCTATAAGTAGCAAATAGTTCAGCCGTGAGAGGCTGGGAAACCTGAGTCCCTCCTCCATCCATACTTGAGTGATGACAGGCTCATTAATATACTAAACCCTTGCAGGTACCTGCAGTTGCTATGAATTTCTCTTGCCCAGAAAATGACACTTCACCACCTTTCTATATGCTGGTTTTTACATTCTTATCACCCCTTTTCTGCAATTTTCCCTAAGCTTTAGAGGGGAGAAGTTAAGTATCTTCTATCAGTACTTTGTGCATCCATGTGTCTACAATGACCACTAATCACTGGAAATAGAGACTTCTCTTACTAGTACTGTAAACCACATCAAAAAACATATGGTGGTGGTTATCGCAGTCCCTAGTGGAGAATTGGATATTATTATTTAGATAAACTGACATAGCATTAAACTGTCTTCTTAATATTTATGCTAATAATATATACTATTAGTTCCCCAAAACAGGTTGTCAAATTTAAGGGGATATTGATAACTACTTCAGGCTTTGGCAGATATAGGATCTCTATTACAACTACTCAACTGTGTTACTGTAGAATAAAATAAAATATATCCAACAGCAGACAAATGGGTATGACTATATACGGCTAAATTTATTTGTAAAATATAGGTAACTAGGCTAGGGGAGATAGCTCACTTGATTCAGTGCCTGATGCACAAGTACAAGAATCTGAGGTCGGATATTCAGAACCCATGTAATAAGGTGGGTGTGAAACACATCAATTAGTAAGCTAATTGAAAAAACCAAATTTAAAAGTTTAAATGGAATTATCCTTCATATTTGGACAACATCACTCCCAGAATGAATGACAGTGCCAGGTATGTTATACCATCCTATGAGTCATTGCTCAGAGAAGTCCTAGAGGTCTACAAACAATACAGATACTGCCATTGCCTTTGATTACCCACAACTAAATTGTGTCACTCTATTGTTGCAGACAATACACACTGGCTGCAAGATACACAGAAATGAAATTCAAACTGTCCAGGAAACTTCCTCCATGGTAGTGAGCTTGTACAGTATAAGATGCTATGCAGGAGGCTGGGTGAAAAAGGACATTAATGGTCTTACCCAGCTTTGAATCATACATGTCATGATACGGACCTATCAAGTAAAATATGCCAGTTTGTGCAATTGGCATTACTGTTGGAGGGTAACAAAATGCTTACTGACTGGATTTGAAGCCTACTGTACAAGAGGAAATTTCATGCCCTGTACTATAATCCTAGTTAAAAGACCATGAGTAGTACCTGTTATTATTATTTTGCTAAATGGTCATGCTATCTCAATCTTTATGTTTATAACTATAACCTAGGCTGCTTTAAACCTTAATCAGTGAAGCTTCTTTTTGCAGTGGATGGCAGTCAATGGAAAGATGCACAATTGGTTCAAGAGTTGGTAAGAGACTGAGTACTTATATCAACTAAATGAGATACTTATATCAACTCTCCTCTTCCCAGCTCCTGGAATATCACTGAAGACAAGGCAGAAAGAATCTAAGAGCCAGCTGGAGGATGGGTTGTTTTGTAAAATACTACCTTCTGAATATGACATGGCTATTACACTCAAGCAGCTGTGGTTACTTGCACAAAATCAAGCCAGCCAAAATTCTGGCATAAATGGGTAGATGGTATCCAGGTACTACTCCTTAGTGAGAAGCTATGAGTAGTTAGTAAGTTTCTGAAGGAGAATCATTCTTTTTTGAGGATGTGGCCCTTGATAGTATTCCAATGCCCCATATGTATGCACATATGGGCAGCGCTAACTGAACTAAGTGGATTATTAAAAAAAAAATTAAAAAAGAGACATGCAATGGGAAGGGGAAATGTTGGAATGGATATAGATGGAGTTGAAGGACGTAAATAGGGATTATATATGATCATATTTCATTGTATACAAATGAAATTATCAACAATAAAATTGGAATAAGAAGAAAAATGCTGAAATAGAAGTTCCTGAACTTTGTGGGGTAGAAGAGGTAGATTGGGCAGGAAGAGGTAGATTCCTGAAACTCACTAGCCAGCATGGCTAAATTAATGAGCTTCAGGTTCAGTAAAAGACCTTCCCTCAAAAAAATAAAGATAGATGGTTAGAGAGATAGTTCAGCAGTTGAGACCTCATGCTACTCTTGCAGAGGGCCTCAATTTGACTCTCAGCACCTAAGTCAAGGAGCTTACAACTACTTGAAACTCTAGCTTCAGAGGATTGGGCTGGTCTTCATAGACACCTACATTCATATGTACATATCCCACAGACATACACATAATTAAATATATATCTTAAAAAAAAAAAAAACAGAAAGTGACTGAGGGAAGATGCTGGATGTGGGTCCTAGGAATCTAACTCAGATTAATTCTTGATTGTCAGGCCTACCAGCAATCTCCTTTCTGTCATGTTATTTAAAGCCTTAAACAAAAGTAATGTTACATTAGGGTTATCAATTTCTTTGAGCTGAATAAAATCATTTTTAATCCTTTCCAAGAGAACTAAGTAGATGGATAAATAAAATTCACACTAGAAAAAAAAGTTTTCACTATATGGCCCCCAAACACCTTTTTATTTTTAATAGAGTCTCATTATAAAACAGTAAGAAATTTAAACCTTCAATTTCACGTTCTCAGTATAATTATTTCATTTCTACTTTGTGTGTATTTCAGAGTGAGTTGCAGTATTACTTTTAGAAACCCTGGTAAGCACTCAGGCCTTACAAAGTTGGCTTAGTTTCTTTTGGTAGATCTTACACACCTGCTGAAGGCTTAACACTGATTATTTCCACTCCTTCCGGCAAATCCATCTCTTTGCTGTACACCAATTCAGAGAACAGGGACAGCTTGCTGGTGCTCTGAAGGTTTGCTCTGCATGCCTGGAATCTCTGTGAAAATGGAGATAGGATCTTCTCTGGAGAAGAGGAATAATTCTCTTCTGGTAGCCAAACAGCTTCTGATAGTTTTGTGTCTGTTTTTTCATCTGTAAAACAAAAAACCAGAAACAAAAACTGGGAGAGAACCCTATATGAATAAGTATTGTAATTGCTACTTTTTAATACATAGCTGATAAAGACTGTAGACATTATATACAAGAAGAAAGTAAGAAAGTTATTTTACTTTTGACATTCTAAATAAACCATAATTATCAACAGTATATAAGAATGGTTTCAAAATCTAATTCTAAACAATGGAAAAGGAGACACAGGTTTAAGAAAGGATAATACAGGAAGAAGTGGAAGAGGGGAAAAGAAGGATATGATCAAGTAACTATACACACATATAAAAAAGTGAATAAAATCATATTTTGTATAACTAAAAATATGTAAGTAGACTTACCCAGTGAGACAGGAATGGACCTTAAGTGTAAATCCCACATTTGTAACAGTGAACGGTTGTCCTGAGTGCACTCTATCACAACCAGGTAGAACTTTTCAGAAAATCCATGAGGTGAATTGCCTGTTGACATCAGGGATATTTTTCATTAACATGAGACAGTATACTAAATATACCAAGTTAAAGTAGCTTTTTATTTTTTTAGAGAAAGAAACTTAAAAAATGCAAAGCAGCTGTATTCAATGGTATTAGTACATGACTTTGCATTATCTCAAAATTTTAATTATATACATGCTGTGTGTAAATTTCACTTTCAATTGCTAAATTTTAAGTGTTGAATTTGAAACATTTTAACCTTAACAAGTCCTATTATAGACATTACCATTAACTGTTCACAGTGAGATCCTAGTAAGCAGGACATTGCTAAAGAGATGGAAACTATGTAACATGGTACTTTAGGCCAATGTATCACAATGAAAATTGTGTTGTTAAAACCTTCCAAGGTAGTAGCTGGGTGGTGGTACAAACCTTTAATCTGAGCCCTTGGGAGGTAGAGGCAGGCATATCTCCAAGTTTGAGGACAGCCTGGTCTACAAAGTGAGTTTGTATACCCAGGGCTATACAGAGAAACTCTGTCTAGGAATATACGCATTCAAGCATGCATGCATGCACTTGGAGGCAGGGAGGACAGTCTGACCTACTGAATTCACTGGTCCTAGCTGGTCTAGAACTGTTTGCCATACAAGCCTGATGACAAGAGTTCATATGTGCAGAGACAAGAGATTTGCCTGGAAGCTCACATTCCAACTAGCAACAGCAGAAATGAGACAAATGAGACTCTGTTCAAAAGAGGGAGGCAAGAACTGAACCCCAAAAGTTACATTTGACCTCCACATGCATGGGCCCTAGCATATGTACACCTGAAATTACATAAGCACACAAATATGGATGGACAACAATAATAAAAGAAAGAACGAAATCCTTCTTGGTTCATATTGCAAAGTGTAAACAGCATAAAAGCTGCTGAAATAAGTAACTAAATGCATCTTTCTAAAATTATCATAAAACCAGTAGATCATTACTGCCTATTTTATGAAAGACTTTGGTCCAAGATTTCTTCATATATACAAAATTACCTAAACAATAATTAGCATTACAGTCAGAAATGGGTACCAGTGTCAGTAACCTTAGCTACTTGGGCAGCTGATGCAGATGGATCCCAAATTCAAGGACAGCGTGGGCAAGACCCTTTCTCAAAAACAATATAAGTTGCAGATATAGTTCATTGATAGAAATCTTGCTTAGTATTATGTCCTGGATTCAGTCCTCTCTCTCTCTCTCTCTCTCTCTCTCTCTCTCTCTCTCACACACAAATATAAAACCACAGAAAAGAACATACAAAAAAAGTTGAACGCCAATGCCTCATCAGTTGTAACACTTGGGAGAACAAGCCATATGCTTTGCCTGGGCAGCACAGTAAAGTTGACCCTGTAGACAGGGGTGCTGGTGAACCAGCCCTGAGGGTGTGAGAGAGGCATTGCTGGTACTGTCTAACCTTACCTGCACAGAGTGGTGGTGGGAGTGAGGGAAGGATGCCCTTCCTCTCCCCTCACTGCCTCCAGTTGTAGAGGAAGCTGGCCTTCCCCTTCACCAGCTACAACATTTGGGAAAGTGGGCAGCACAGCAGAGCTGACCCTGTTGACAGGCCTGTTCAGGTAAGATGCCCAAGAATGTGAGCATAAGAGACCTGGCCCCACCCTTATCTGCCATGGTCAGGGAAGAGATGCTTCCCCGCCCCCTGCAATCCATCTATGCCTAAGGTGGGTGGGAAAACTTTGAGGTCATAAGCAGGAGAGCTGCCCCTGTCACTCACAAGATGCAGTATCAGTAGGAGAATCAGTGCCTGATTACTGTATGAGAAACAAGAACAGGAATATTTGATTACTCCACCATCTACTTTTCCAGTCTCCGAACTCATCTGATCAAGAGCCAACAAACATCTTCAGCCATTAGATCATGAACTTCCTCTATCATCAGACTGAATTTGCTGCAACTGAAACCAAGCAGCTGTTGCCACCAGGCAAACTTGGCAGCAAAAGGATTCCAAAAGGAAATATACAAATGTGGTGTTAATAGAGATTTCATAAAAGGTGTCCTCAGAAACTGCTCTCAGTGCCCCAGTTGGAAAAGGTAAAGCTATCAGAGCTAAACATAAGCTATAAACAGTGCCATAGGCACTGTACAGTTATCACCTCTCCAACTCTGTGGGAAGGCAACAATGGCAAAAAGGTGGAGACTATCTAGGATAGTCACAGCCCACTGAACAAAAAACTCCATACACATGCAAGGTGAGGGGTAGAACAGGACCCTAAAAATCCACAGAGTACAACCCAGACAAGGGCCATGGGGAGAAAGCATTTTCTTATACCTCCATACCTTCCCTACAACTATTTCTCATTTTTATAAATACAATAGGGAGCCTGGCATGGTGGTGCAACACCTTTAATCCCAGCATTCAGGAGCCACAGACAGGTAGGTGGATCTAAGTTCAAGGCCAGTCTCCATCTACATAACAAGTTCCAGGATACTTGGTCTCAAAAGGGGTAGGGGGAATATAGTAGAGCTCTGTACATTACTATTTTACTCTCATTATTTATTTTTCTTCCTTTCTCTTTTCAGCATTCATTCCTCCTCATGTTATATCTTCCAAAGCCAAGAGGCTCACCTAGTTAACCAAACTCCCACATACAAACCCATTTTTAAAAACTTTGAATCAACTACTCATACTGCTATGTATGTCCCCCTCCCTTACTTCTCATTAACAATACTTATCACCAGTCAAACTGGATTGCTTACTTCTTTTCTTTTCCATTCTACTCATACTGTTAGTATGCACAGTACCACTGGGTCCCTTTATCCCTAATTAACTGAAATTTTTAAAATTGTTTTATAGAAACATGCTACTTGATTACTGGAGATGGTTAACTAAGAGAATACTGGCTGTTACTGCAGATAGTACTCAAACCATAAAAGCAAAGTAGAGATAGAGCCCAGTGCCTAGAAAACCAGTCTACCAGCAAAAAACATCACAACTATACTACACCCTAGTCTCTCCTGAACACTACAAACTCATTCACTGACAGAAAAACCTGAATTAAAAGAACAAAAACAACAGCAAATCTTAACTAACAATCTAATCCCAGAAGGGCAGACCCCAAAGAAAACACAAGTAACATGAAGAGCCAAGACTATGTGCTTCCAAAAATTATCAATCCCATATTAATGACCCCTGACTAAAATGACTTAGATAAAATTCCAAATACAGAATTCAAAAGAATGTTCATGAATATGGTAAAACAACTCAAAGACTTGAATATTTTCCAAGAGAACACAATAGCTGCATAAAATAGTCAATATAAGATACAAAAGTAGAATTTAATAAAGGGAAAGGAAAATTGAGGACAACACAAGTCAAAATGATGGAAATGAAAAAGAAGTTCAGTGAAAAGCCTCACCACCACAATGGATCATGTAGACTATCAGGGTAAAGAGACAAAATGGAGGACAATTTATTTTAAAATGTATGAACCCAACATGCAAAAATTCTGAAAAACATGGTAAACCTAAACACTATTGGAATACAAGAAGAGAAGAATTAAATGGTTAAGGCATAAAAACATTTTTAATAAAATTATAGAAGAAAATGTCACAAATCTGGGGTAGGAAAGACTATCTAGACAAAAGAACAAGAGAAAACCAAACAGAAAGGACCAGAAAAGAAAACGCCACATCATACTATAATTTAAATACTAAATGTACAGAACAAAGAAAGTATATACACTGCTATGAAAAGGACCAAATGACAATGCAAAGGCAGGCCCATCAGAGTGGACTTTTCAATTCCAACCAGAAAATTAGGAAGGGCTTTAACTAATTTGTTTAAAAGCCTGAAATACCACCATTGCAAACCTGTCCTAATATACAGAACATTCCACTCAAACATCAATACATATTATTCTCAGCACACCGTTGAAACTTCTCTAAATTAATTTACATTTTAAGACACAAAGTAAATCTTTACAAATGCAGGATAATTCAAACGACATCCTGTGTTCTGCCACATGAGATAAAGCTAGAAATCCATAAGAGATAATATATAAACTCATGAAGATTAAATAGTAAGCTACTGAATGATGAATGAATCATTACAAAACTCAAGAAGGAAATAAAAGTCTTCATGAGACCAAATGAAAACATAACAGCTGAATCTAAGGAGTAAGATGAAATCATTTCTAAGTTGGACATTACAGCTCTAAAGGCCCACTACATTAAAAAAATAATCAGAGATCTCAATAAACAACTTGATAATGAACCTTAAGACACTGGAAAAAATAACAAATCAATACCCAAATTAGTACAGAAAATAATGAGAGGCTTTCTATTCTTTTCTTTAAATACTGGTCAAAGCCAGGACATACATCCTTGATACTGTGGACTACTTTTCACTTTTCCTGAAGCTGTTCCCCACCATTGCCATGTGGTACTTGCCCTCCATTGCTGACCCTGCTAGCTTTCTCAGATACTAACTTTAAAAGGCATGTATTTCTCTCTTCTTTTTCTTCTCCCTCCTCCTAGCAGACACCAAGACTTACAGCTTGCCTACTGTGTTGATTTTCTCTCAAACTCTAATAAAATTTTCATGCTCCAAAAAAATTAACATCAACACCCTTAATATCATATAGAAAAAGAATGTTGCATTTCTGTAATCCTTATCTTAAACTTGTCATCTTTGTGTGCTCAAAGCATGTGCAAGTGTGTTGGGGTCAGAGGTTGATGCTGGAACTCTTCCACAATCATTTTCTACTTTGTGTCTGACACAGGGTCTCTCACTTCAGTCTGTCTGTCTCTGAAACATTGGGATTACAAATGTGCTGCTGTGTCCAGCTTTTTTAACATGGATTCTAGAGATCAATCTCAGATCCTTCATGTTATGTGACAAGCATTTTACTGTCTGGGACATCTTGCCATCCCTTTATTCCTCTCATTTTTAGCATATGGCTAGGATGTCCAGAATTACAAAAGCACATGAAGAAAAGTGTATTTTCACAGTTCATGAAATCTCAAGGAAAATGATGAAAAGTTAACTGAAAGAATGCTGTAACGTTCTACCAATGTTAAAGTGCAGAAGTCACTCACTCACTCACATGGTAATAACAAATTCCATCTATTGTGCATTTAAAGTAACATGTAACTGGGATGAGGGTATGGCTCAATCATAGAACACTAGCTTAGCTTGCTGAATCACCATGGCAGTTAAAAAACCAGTCTTGGAAGGAGATCAGGCGCAGCTAAGAGAAAAGTAACATGCAACTGAATAAACAGTCAATTTGCTTTGATTTGTGTTGTTTTTGTCTATTTCCTGGTTAAGAATAAAAAGATAAGCTACAAGAAGGGCATATTTCTATATTCAAGCTATTCAGAAGGCTGAGGCAAGAGGATACCTTGAGCAGAGAATTTCAAGGGCAGCCTAGGCTACTAATTAGACCATATAAATAAACACCTAAATCTATAAAGAAGAGATAACAATATTTATGTTGAAAAAAAATCAACCTGAAATATAACTTGAGATGTATTAATTTATCTTTATAAACTATGTAACATAAGCTGCATAATATTTCTTATCACATCAAAGTTTTCCTTACCTGGATCCAATAAAATGTTTTTTCCCAGACTTTTCTTCTCAAGGTTATTCAAAATGAAGTCTTCTTGAAAAACATGAAGCAACTGGGTTTTTCTGCCATGCTGAGATAAATAAATACCAATATAAATTGACATATATGTCATTTACCTAATGCTAAACAAGAGAAAAATAATACTTACAAGCCTGGTAATGGGATCTAATGCAATAATGCAACCTGGCCTGGCTGTTGATTGCTGACTGACGATGTTAAACACTTCACCAACATATTTCTGGAGAGAAAAAAAAAAAAAAAAAACTCCTTTAGTAAACAAATTCAAAAGTAACTAAAACCAAATATGAAATATTTCAACCATAATTAAGACAAATAACAAATTCAAGTAAGTCAAATACAATTTCTTTCAACTTTAAATATTATAGGATTTTACCTTAATAGAAATTACACAGAAATGAGTAGAATTACAGCTCAATAGGTACAGAGTGATTTAAAAAAAAAAAAAAAAAAAGTGATGCTTGGTAACTTAGGGGGAAAATATTTTATATCAACCAAAGTGAAAGACTGCCTTGAATCTTCTAGATATACTCTAAGCAATTATTTTAAAATATAAATCTTTCAGAGTACTGTATTTATTTTGTTGTTATGCTAAGAATGAAACCAAAGGCCCCGTGCATGCTAAATACATGATCTTTTATTGAGCATCCCCTGTCTAAGAGTCTCCTTATTAGCCATCATAAGGATAGTTTCTTTACCTTGATAAACACTCTAGAATTGCAAAGCACTCTCTCTCTCTCTCTCTCTCTCTCTCTCTCTCTCTCTCTCCTCTCTCTCGCCCTCTCTCCCTCCCCCTCTCTCTCTCTCCCTCCCTCCCCCCCCTCTCTCTCTGTGTGTCTGGGGATAGAACTCAGGGCCTTATTTAGCTAAGCCAAGTAGTCTACCACCCAACTCTATGTAGCTAAAACATTAATTTTGAGGTGGAGAAGACAGAGCTAATGGTGTAAGTTAACATCTTGTTTCTATAGGCTGATTTTTAGAAAGGATTGAATTTGAAGTTTTAAAAATTGTGTATGCAGGGGAGGGCCTAGGCCCTATCCCAAAGGACATGACAGACTCCTAAGAACCCCCACGGAAGGCCTCACTCTCCCTGGGGAGCAGAAATGGTATTGGATAGGTAGGTTGTTAGTGGGGGGCAGGGAGGAGTGGAGGGAGAGGGAACAGGGATTGACATGTAAAACAATCTTGTTTCTAATTTTAAAAAAATATTTTAAAAATTATGTGTATGTATGTATTGGTATTAGCATGTGAATGCAGCTACCTGAAGAGACAAGAGGTCTTAAATACCCTGGAGCTATATCTACAGGTGATTGTGATCCAAGTACTTGGAACTAAACTAGGGTCCTCACAAGAGCAGCAGTGCTCTTAACTGCTAACTGATCTCTCCAGTTCCCTTTCCCACCACCCCCAATTTTTATTTGTTTGTTTATAATTGTGAGCATGTGTATATGTATGTAAAAGGTAGGGGGAGGCAAGAAGAGACACATAAAGTGACAGAGAGACAGCCAGCAAGTTAATGGAGGTAGGAGAGCAACCTTGGGTATTAGCCCTTGTTGTCCACCTTATCTGTATGCCAAACTGGCTAGCAGGTTTCTAACAGATATATGCACTGCAGTGCCCAGCTTTTGTGTGGTTTTTGGGTCAGGCTTGTGCAGCAAGCACTTTGCCCACTGAGCCATACCCTTAACCCAAATATGCTAAGGTATTGAGTCACTTATGTCTTTGTATACTGTGAAATTCAGTGGTCATTTCTCAGTCTTCACATACTTGATTTTTCAATCCTAGCCATCACTCTCTCCTAGGAATACTTCATTGAGCTTCTATAAAATACCATATAAACATATTTTTAATAATACAATGCTGCACTATTCAATACTTATATCGCTTATTTTTTCTAAATATAGTTTCTCCTTCTACAATTACATCTACATCTTCAACTTTAAATTTGTCAGTACTCATTATTATTGTTGTTGCTGGTTTTTTTTTTTTTTCCCAGATAGGGGTCTCTCTACACAGTCCTGGCTGTCCTGGAACTCACTATGTAGACCAAAATGGCTTGGAATTCGCAGAGATCTGCCTGTCTCTCCCTCCCAAGAAAGGCATGTGCCACTATGCCTGGCCTCAGCTACTTATTTTACATCTTCAGTTAACACCTTTTTCTAAAATCCAAAGGTAACTTTATTGGAGCTCTCAGATGTCAAACAGGCAACTCAAAATGAGTATGTCCAAAGCAGGGATCTTAAATTCTTTCAAACTTGCTAGTTGTACATTCTTCCTTATTTTAACCATAGCAATGATACATGAAGGTCACACAAATTATGGCAGTCATCTTTTTTCTCACATCTAAAATCCTGCCCAATCCTAACTAATTATTCAAAATACATTTAACATTTGACCCCTTTTCAGCATTTCTAACATTAACCTTCATTACCATTCTTGGCTCTTTATCTTTCTCCTGAACTAGGGTTATAGCTTTTTTTAAATTGGTCTCCCTCACTCTACTTTTACCCACATGGTGGCACTACAGTTGTCATATTGACCTATTAAAAAACCTAAATCAAATTATCACGAGTGTAACTTTCAATGGTTTCTTGTTGTAGAATATTTCTTTACACTGTGAAGATATATCACTGTGATTGGTTTAATGTTCACTAGCTAGGCAGGATTTTCAGGGCAGAGAGAAAGATGGGAAGAAGGTGGAGTTGCCATCAAGATGCAGAGGAAGACATGGACATTACAAAGTAAAGGTAACCCAGTCACATAGAAGAATGAAGATTTAAAAAAAATATATATGGGTTATAGAAAAGCTAGGAAACAAGGAGGACCCTAAGAGAGACATACAAGTTTCCCCGGAGAAAAGAAAAGGGACAAGATCTCTTGAGCAAACTGGGAGCAGG